CCGTCATCCACCACCGAGTTTGGTCCAGGCGGCTCCAGCGGCAGCTGCTTGTCGTCCTTTTTTGTGGGAGCTCTACTTCATTGTGTGGCTCTGGAGTTTGTTCTTCTTCTCACAAGTAAGGGTACACACACCCACAGGCCTCGGTCTTGGTGTTCGAATCGAAGGCTCCTTCTGCAAGCGGGGCAGCAGCATCCTCCTGGGGCTGGTGTTGTCGTCGGAATATGAAACTATGAATCTTTTAGGGCGGGTCGTTTGGGGTTCTCACATGATGCCATATAGCATTCTTAGATTTGGCCCCCCTAGCTGCCCTATAGCTCTTTGTACACATGTTGATTATATATACATATATATAAAAACACATGCAGATATGTGTAACAAAACATGTTGTTGAACTATGCAATGCAAGATTCTTTGGGTCGTGGACCACCATGTACCCAGAGCTCCCAGGCTTGCGGCTTCACCGTCTCCAAACCGTAAAGTTGCTCAGGTGGAACCTTTGGGTGTGGTGGTGCAAGGTGTTGCGGCGGTGGGTACGGGGGCTGGGTCGGCATCGCTTTGGCTTTTGGTGGGAGTGCTGGTTCTGGGACATTGGGCTCTGGTGGGCTTTGGGATGGCGGTGGTGCCTGGCCCAGTGGAGGGGGGGTGGGCGGAGGGCCTTTCCAAGGCGGCTGTTCTGGTGGTGGTGCCCACTTGCCCCACGACTCGTCTTCCTTCGAAGCTTTCGAAGGGGGCGGCTTCGCCAGCTCTGCCACCAGGTACTTGTTCGTCGCCATTTTCCCATGCCATTGCCCGTCGAGCGAAGCCCGGGCAAGCTGAGCGGCATCTGGCGAGTCCTTTGGTTTAGGGTTTGGGGGTTAGGGGTTTGGGGTTTATAGGGTTTAGGGTTTAGGGTTTATGTAGGGGTCGCAAGTAATTTTTCTCAAAACCAAGTTGCGAACTCTAAGAAGATCGAGCAGTGATCAGGCTTGCTCTGCTTCTTCTCCCAGTAACGCTCCCGCACCACTTGTATGTTCCGGCAATCCAGCACCCCAAGCTCCTCGATCGCCGCCCTGATCGCCTCGGCTCTCTCTCATGTAACTACATATATGTATGCCTGTCTATATGTGTACCAACCTCACCCTTTGTATATATGTGTAGATATAAGCATATATAATTAGACACAAAAGAAAAGTAATGAGTGTCAGATTGTGGCCAATAGACGTGTATTGAGTTTATCTATATCTACATATTGTGTACATATAAAGTATATATGTTAAACCCTAAACCCTAAACCCAAAGCTACTTTTCTTTCGAGTGGCCCACTTCGTCGCACTGTACGTGACATTCTTCACGTAGACACGGTAGCAGTCGACAGTAGCCATGGCCGCGAAGCAAAACTTGCTATATGTGTTAGAACACCCAAAGTGAACAGCCTTTATTCTTTGTGGATAAAAATGTGCCTAGAGCCTAGCCCCGGCGCCGAAAGCCTGACACCCGAAACTCGGTAATGGCTTTGGGTTGTATGCTTTAAAAGTCCAGAGCATCTATGCGAAGCTATCTACAATCCAAACCTTCTACAAATACTGTGAGGATAAGCCGCATCGGCACATGGTGGTGACATCGTGTCGAACACATCGTGTGTAGGAGATACTACGTCGCAAAACTAGAGTCTCTCCTGCTGTAAAGGAAACAGCGACCACGGCCACAAGTTTCGGCTCCAACATCATCTCGCAAAAAAGCCTCGATAAACCTCTTCAGCCGGCATTCTCTGCACTCAAGCAATTCCAACTCGAAAGTGTTAGACATTGGAGAATGTTTTTTTGGGGGCTCACAAGGAATCCGGGCTGTCGGTTTGCGGTTTAAGTTTGGGGAGTCGGGTTTGGGGTTTCGGGTTTTGGGGTTTATATAGGGTTTATGGGTTTAAAATTAGTTTTGGGTTTTAGGGCTTAGTGAGGGTTGAGGGTTTTTGTGAAATACTGCTTTAAAGGCAAGACACACTCGCAGGTAGATCTCGCAAGTAACACAAAGCTCCCCATCGCATGTAAAGCTGCACAAGGAAAATCTCGCAAGTAACACAAAGCTCCCCATCGCATGTAAAGGTGCACACAAGGAAAATCTCGCAAGTAATATACAAAGCTCCCCATCGCATGTAAAGGTGCACACAAGGAAAATCTCGCAAGTAATATACAAAGCTCCTCACATCGCATGTAAAAGGAAACACTCGCACAGGTAAAAAGCAGAACTCATCGCAAGTACATATACAAAAATCACCGTCGCAAGTAAACCTGCTTTGAGGCTTTAGGCTATTGGTGGTTTCGGGGTTACAAAGGCTTATATATACAGTATATGATAGGGATCAAATACATATATCACACAGAACAGGAAGCACTCAACCTCACACACACACACAAATGCAAGAAACATTTTTTCTCGCAGTCATTGCCCCTCTGCTGCCGGAAGGTTCACCCTTTTTGTGCTTCTCACTAAAAGGGCCAAAGATGCATTATGCTAAATGGCATTGTGGCAGATGTAGTGCTCTACATGTAAACGAAAGACATATAGAAACACACCGTGACTAGCACCCATGGGTTTTCTCAGATTTGTGGGAAAACAAACCACGTTTATATACAACATATATATGCTTGAAACTCAGATTGTTATATAGTCTACAAAGTTCAGAAAACCCAGGGTGCACATCACATCCCGCACTGAACACATTTTGGTTTTCAAACCCCCAGCGACTTCATGACGTCCTTTCGCAGCTTGTAGAGCTCCAAGAGCGGGATGCCCTGCTCGACGTAGGGAATCATCTTCTCGATCACCTCATGATGCTTCGGACAGCAACTGGAAATGATGCTCCTCAGCTTGCCGCCGTTATCGTAGTTGCGGATGTAGGATTTCTCAGAGTAGAACTCTACCTTGCAAGATCCGTACTTTTCGGCGGACAGCCATTTGTTAGACGGCGAAGTCGCCGCCGCCGGCTTCGGCTTCGCCGCCAGCTTCGCCACCTTCGTCTTCGCCGCCGACTTCGCCTTCGCTGTGGCTTTGGGCTTGGGGCTCTTCTCTTTCGGCTTGCCGGTGGCTTTGGGCTTCGAAGCACCCTTCTTTTTGGCCACAGCCACAGACACCGGCGGCATGAAAGCCATGGCATTTTTGAGGATGTCCAAGTCGCACTCATCCGTGGAAGAGATCACTTCCACATCCTTGGCCGGCTCAGCCCCGGCACCAGTCTTGATCTTTGCCTTTCCTGCCTTTTTGTTCTTTGCCTTTGTGGCCTTCTTCTTCAGGGTGCCCTTCTTCATAACGATCTTCTTCGGCTTGCTGCTCTTATGGATGTGCACAAACTTCTCCGCAAACTTCTTCGGCTCGCTGCTCTTCAAGGTGTCCGGAAACTTGGTCGGGCTGCTGTTCTTAAAGATTTCCGGCAACTCCGGGAACTCAACATCCTGCAAAGGAGTAAGCTTCTCGTCACCACGAAAAGGAACAGGCTTCTCATCCTCGTTCACGGGAACAAGGGCCGTGCTGGGGGAATCAAGAGGCTTCGGGGCAAACTCCTGCACCTGCACCCTTTCCAGGCAAAGGTCAAGCTTCCTGATTGTATGTTTCCACAGACTTATAGGTAAAAAAAAGTTTGCAACACTTCTTTGTTCCGTCACACGAATTATATATACAGCGAAAAAACACGAAAAACATATATGTGCAGCCACTGCACACTTGATCCTCGTGCGACAGGGACCTGTAGACTTTCCGCTTGAAGCTCTCCTTCTGCTTCATCGCACGGAGGTGGCTAAGAAGAAGACGGATGGCGGTGTCCATCTTGTCCACAAGGTCCTCTGCCTTGTAGTCTTTGTGGCCTTCGAGCAGCAGGTTCTTTTGCTCGTGAAGGATCCAAAAGCTTCGGGTAACCCGCTGCGACAACAACTTCGTGTTCGGGGCGAGGCGAAGAAGGTCAAACAGCAGCCCAGCTGTCTTTGCCAACCACGGACCGTGGGCGGCAGTGTGCCAAGTGTAGCTTATTGGCCCGCCCGGAGGGGGGCACAGTAAAGGCCACAGGTCCTTCGTCTTCTTGAACTCGAGAAAGCCAAACACCACATCCGCCAGCTCCTTTGCTGTAATAAGCGGATCGGCAACCACTCGGTCCTTGGCATTTTTGCCCGTTGCAGCGGAAGCGCCGTCCGCCAGCTTGACCGAAGCTGCAGCTGCTAAGGAAGCCATGCTCGCAAGACTGTATATACTGTGTATGTATAGGATTTATGATTTCTCAAAAAAATGGAATGCATTTGTCTCTGTCTCCATCCAGCCTCGCACTTACCTCTGGGTCTCGTCTGGACCAAACACACAGCTGCAACGTCCGAAAATTTTTCTCACTCTCGGATCTCAGAAAAGTATATATATATATATATAAGTAGATCTCTCGCATGTAACCTACAAGAGTCTCGCACAGGTAAAGGTGGACTCCTCGCAGGTATAAACTATATTGTGATGACTCTCGCAAATGTACATGTACCGATTTCTCGCATGTAAAAAGCACACATCGCAAGCAATCCGCCGGCTCGACCCAGCACAGAATCAAACCGAGCTGCGATTTCAACATGGAAAACCATGGCTTAACAAGTATGCTTGCAACACAATTCTCATAATTTTATCTTCACACCTGACCATGCCGCACTGTACAGTCGCAGGAAAATCTCATGCAATCAACAAGCAGAACCATGATAAAAGAAACAAAACCAACCAAAATTAGCTTGCATTTCACTTCTTCAAATTCGGGAATGTGTAACCTAAAAACATGTATTTTGCAGTGTAAAAAAATTTACATTGCAGTGTAAATTTTTTACTATACAAAGTAAATTAATTTACACTTTTTTTTTACGTAAATTTTTTCGTAAATTTGAAGTGTAAACCAAGCTTTGTTTAGTAAATTGCTCGCCACCTAAAATTAGGTAAACAGCAGGGTCAGGGCAGTGAACGCCATCTTCGCCAAGCACGGATTGGCGCAATACAGCCTTCAGATCCCGGAGATGGTGGGGAACCTCCTCAACCCTATGGTGGCTCTATCCAAGCCGGTGGAGGAAGGGGAGGTGGACAGGGAGCCCCACCACTTGGCGGCTCGGTCTCCGGGCAGTGACCCTCAGGGGGCTGCTGAATTGCTATGGCAGTGTGCTCTCGGCCAAGGACATCTGGAACATGGTGGGACCGACCAAGAACGAGGGCCAGAAGAAGTTCCAGAGGGGTTTTCCCCTGGTGCGCTCCAAGGCGGTTGCCGGGCGGCCCGCCGCAAGGACTTCCTTGACCTGCGCCTGAAGGCTAAGTCGTGGATGGAGGCAAGGGGGTTCGGAGAGCCGAAGTGCCCGGAGGATTACGCGATCATCCTCCGCCGCATGAGCTTCGAGGTCCACTGCATGAACTTCCTGCACAACCCCAGTTGGCTCGAGGATCTCCAAGGAAAGGCTTCGGCTGCGGGCGGAGTACGACCACAGAGTCACGCTGCCCATCGATTCCCTCCCGCTTGACCTCAAGGCCTTCTTCTCGGGCAAGCACAAGTGGGCGGTGGCCTTCCAGTACTACCGCTGCACTGGAGGGGCGTGGGTTAAGGCCCCGGACTTCGTGGACAGGCCCAACCGGAGGCATTGGATCCACATGGAATGTGGCATGGTCCTCCCGGCCCTGTCAGGCTTCGACTACACCAGGGTTGGGTCTAGCAAGCGCTCCAAGAACCGTTATGCCTGCACCCTTTGCAGGACCGAATGGGGCCGGGATTCGGCGGAAGGCAAGTGGCTCAAGGGCCACGAGATGCACGGCTGGCTCCTGGAGATTTTCGATGGCGATGTGGTCCTGCAGGCCATCGTCACGGCTCCACCGCAGGCAGAGCGCGAGAGGTGGATCCAGGGGCGTATGCTCTTCTGTCGGAAGTTCGAGGGCACGGCTCCGCTACTTGACGCGGCCCCACACAAGATGCCGGGGCAGAATCCCTCCCGCATCCGTCTGGGCCCTGACGCTTCCACACAGCTGTGGCGTCTGGTCTTCTCGGAGCCCTCCTTGGAAGCTCTCCAATCTTTGGATGTCTTGGCTGATGCGGTCAAGGAAGAGCTTACGGCGGATGTGGAGATGAAGCCCTCGGCCCCCTAGCCTGGGAGCGGTGGCTAATCGATGTTCGGCGCCCTCTCGCCTGCCTACGGGCTGTTTTACGGGGTGCCACATCCTTTTATCCCAGCGATTTGGGCGGCATGACCTCCCCAGTACAGCCTCGATGCTCAGGGGATGGGGGGGGGGTACGGTTGCCTCAGGTGCCGATTCCCTTCCCTGAACCTACCCATTTGGGGGCACTGCCTCCCCAGTGTAGCCCGTGGGGGATGGGGGGGGTACGGTTGCCTCAGGTGCCGATTCTCTCCCTGAACCCGCACATCGAAGGTTCAGATAAGGAAGGCGCCTCAGAGCTTTCTTGATGCCTCCGACCTCTGGTTGCGCTGAAAAAGGGGGGACTGGACCTGCCTGGTTCTTGGGGGTGTCTTTTGGGTTTTCTTTGGTGGGGTCTTTCCCTTTGCCGCTGGGTTTTTCGGGGTCGTTTGGAATCCTCGCTGTGCTGAGTGCTTGCTAGTGATCTGCTTGCGCATGTCTGTCACTTCAGCAATGTTCTCTCTTCACCCTGCTGGCCGGGCCCCGCAGCCGTTTTGTTCTGTGGCTCCATTTTGCTTCTCGCTTCTCGGTGCCAGTGGGCCTTTGGGCCTCACCGATGGATGAGGGTCAGGTCGTGGACACGCGGCACCGGGAGCTGGTTATTCTCACTGAAGCTATCTGGGAACGATTCCAGCCGAGGGCCAGGGTCCTTCTGGTGGAAGGCTCTGGAAGACCGGTGGCAGACCAGGTTGACTGGTCCTTTCTCCTCACTCTCCCCCCCGAGACTCGCCAGAACAACGCTGGTCTCAGGGCCGGGTATACGGTCCAACGTTGGCGACAAGGCGGCATACGGCAAGGTGGCACCTGCCTCCTGTGTCATCCATGCGCCTGGTGTGGGGAGATGGCCACGAGTTGGTGTGACCGATGCGAGCGCCCGGGCGCTTTCAGGGCGCTGTGCATGGGATGTGACCGCGAATGGGATGGCTGCCGCTCACACCGCCAGGGACGCCAGCGACCTGATCCGGGTGCTCCTCCTCCCTCTGATACCATGGAGGTTTTCGCCCTGGGCTTGGAGAATGATGGCCGGGGCCCGGGACACACCGAACGGTGCAACTGTGTACGGTGCAGCACCGCACGAAGGGCGGCTCGGATGCAATCCCACAAAGGGCAGGAGCCGGAACCAGAGGCCTAGGCTGTCTCCCTCCGGTCTGGGTTGGTGGCCCTGCCTGGTCGCTGGGCGCTGCTCCTCGTTAAGGGCTCAGGGGAGGTTGGTCTCCCTCCGGTTGCCTCAGGTGCCGTTGGGGGGGGGTCCACCTCCCACGTATCCTGCATGCCTATTCCCGGGCTCTCAAGCAGACCCTCCCGGGGTCGTGCTGAAGGACATGGGCCCGGGACCGCACCCGGTGGAGTGTGACGTTGCTGCAAAGGCTCCTGGATCCAGATGTGGTTGCCGGGTCAAGGCTACCTGGCTCCAATCGCTCCCCGAAGATAGGAGTCAAAAGCTGGAGGAGAACTTCAGGGAGGCGGTCACTAGGCTTCAGCTGGCCGCGTCGGGCTGCCCTTCATGGACATCTCTCTCTCCAGTAAGTCAACTCCTTGCCGACAGGGCCTTTGGACGGGCCCTCCCAATGGAGCGCCGAAGCGGGAAAAGATCTTGGGAGCACTGGGCACCTATAGGCCTTCTCGGATGGAAGGTCCGGTCAAACAGCTTGCCCTTGATCGGGCGGCAAAGAAGAAATGGGCGGACAAGATCATCTCCGTCCTGGCTCCCTATCACAGGCACTTTGATAACATGCAGGACATCAAGCCGGGGGAGGACAAGTACGAGGTCAGACAGGATCTCCTCCGGTGTACCGGGTACGCTGGTTTGACAGGGGCTACAGGTGCCTGGGTTGTGGTTGGCGGCCCAAGGACTCCAAGAGTTTGGTCACCTTCAACGAGCTGGACTGGACACCGGACTATGTCTTCTGTGCGAAGGCGGCACGGGCCAAGCAGCCCCCAGACTGTTTCCTGGGTGAAGCGGTGACCAAGGACTCCTCCAGCGGGGATCCCTCGGATGGATCGGGTTCGGCGAGTTCTCTGGAATCGGACTCCTCCTCGTCTGTCGATGTGGAAGCCACTCCCAGAATGGGGGCTAGCCCGGCGGCCTCTTCATCGGCTTCTACAGTGCCTTTCTCGATTGTGCTGTGAGCCCCTCTTGTTTTCCCACCTGGTATTGACACCAGGACTTGTGGAGCCCCCCCATACCACAGGGGCGGTTGCCACAGGTGCCGATCCCCTGGTGGAAGGGGATTTGGAGAATCCGGGGTGACGAGGGTTTTGTGAACGCCCGTTACCGAGTGTTAAGTCCTCGGGCCCTTCGGAGTTGGCAGGCATTAGCCCTGCGGACTTGGCGTATTTCCGACCGGTCTTCGGACCTGTCTGAGCTATGCCTGCCCCGGGTCCCTCGGAATTTTGATCTGATCTGCCACTTCTCGGACCTCGTCGGATTCAGGGAAAAAGTGCGTGTGCATAACCTAGGGCTTGTGGCTGCACTGTGACTTGTAGAGGAATCCGTGCTTGCACTGATCAACTCGCATGTCATAGGGCCAAGCCAGCAGCCTCCCTTCTGCATCCTGCTCGGGCCGGCTGCCATTTTGGGTCAGACTCACGACGGGTCTCGGTGACGCGGGGTCTGTTTCCCGGGTTGTTCTTTTTCTTGCCCTCCCGCCCTCTCCTAGTCTTTTCGCTCAAGCCGGGTCCTCCTGCCGTCGGGCAGTATGGATAGACCGAATGCGGAAGTCGACGCCAAGCTGACCCTGGCACGGCCCCCGGAGCTGTGCCCGGACCCCTACAAGGATGAGGTCACGAAGATTGATGAACAGGTTCGTCTGGTCCTGGCCAGGCACCAGGTCCCTTGGCTAGTCCTTTTTGTCATGGGAAAACAGGGTTTCGTCACGGCCCAGGACTGGGCAGGCCGCTGGGATGAAAAGGAACTCCGGAAGGAGGCTCCCAAGTTGGGCTTCTCACCGGGCCAGAACGGATATGATGAGCACACGTGCGTCCTCACCGCTATCCGCCTGGAGAACGCGGTGGAACAGTTCAAGCTCTTAAAGAAAAGGAAGATGGCCGAGGTGGATATCCACTCGGTCGAGGACTACAAAGCTATGATTGGCAGAGGTGACCGCCAAGAAATGAGGGCAGCTTACCTCGCTAAGTTCGGCACGGAACCGGAGAGGGAATACGAAGGCTCGGACCACATGCTTGGTGTCTTGAAGAGGGTGTTGTACAGGGGAGAGTTCCTTTCGGGCTCCCAGCTCGATCTCAACAAGGTCGTAGCGAACCACCCCAAGGATGGGGAAGTGAAGTTTCAGAAGCGCCAAAGCAAAGAAGATGATGAGTGGATCCATGAGGAATCCAACCGTGTCCAGTCGGAGAAACAGTGGAAACGGGTCCTCATGATCTGGCGGACGTCCCTCCTCATGGTTGTGGCAACATGCACGGGCCCCTCGTGCATTCACCTCACCAAGGCAGACTTGGACGACTTCTACAACTTCCTCTTCGGAGATACCATTATGGGCCGTGAGCCCGCCCCCTCACTGGGGGTGTTAATGACGGCTGAAAGAAAGGTCTGGCGCCAGGTGGCCTTGAACATGGCCAAAGACGAAACCTTGACCATCTCAGCTGCCCTCAAAGAGATCCAGAATAACTCGCGATTCTGGTCTATGGAGATCGATGAGTTCTGCCTCCGTCGCCACCACACTGGCCAGCCCAAGGGCCCCAGAAAAGGCAGGGGCAAGGGCAAGGACAAGGACAAGGGAAAAGTCTTCCAGCAGTGGGATTACTGGAAGGGCAAAGGCAAGAAGCCTGGAAAAGGAAAAGGCAAGTCCAAGAAGGAAGACTGGCGTTGGTCCACTCGCTCGGAGGAGACGGTGGAACCTCCACCTCCTCCGGCGGCTACTTTCGCTCGCACTAAGGCACCGCACCATGAGTGGGCGCCTAAAGGATCGGACAGCAAGGAGTTCTGCAAGAAGTACCACGCCTTCAACAGGTGCCCGGGGGACTGCGGTCGCTCCCACAACTGCCCTGTGATTCTGTGCCGATTCCCTACGTGCTCGGGTCGGGTCGGGACTTCCTCGGAATTCCCAGAGTATGCCTCGGACTGCTCCAGCGGGGGATACCACGGAGGCCATCGACCCTGGGGCTGCGGCCCGGCAGCCGCCTCTGGAGAAGAGCCCTCCTAAATTAGCGGCTGGTGAGGGTGACCGCTGGAATTGAGACCGCTGGTCCCAGGCTCTTCCTACTCTTCCGGGCTTCAGAGGACTCCCACAGAGACTCTTGGATAGACTCCTTCCTGGATTGGCTGCTTGGCCTTCTGCAGGCAAGCCGTCCCAGCCTACAGTGCTCATTCTCTATGTGGGGAAGGATGATGCCCGGAGCACTAAGGCGGCGATTGCACAAGTCGCTCGTATCTTGGGAGCCTCAGTCCGCGAACTGGGAGACCTTTTCTGACCTTTGTGCCCTGGCCCTCTCTGGCGACCTCATGGCAATCATCGGAGGGCCCAATTGCAGGACTTGGTCAATCCTGCGACACTTTCCTAGAGCTGGCTGTCCTGGTCCAGTTAGGGGCAGGAAAGGCCAATCAGCCTGGGGCCTCGATGACCTTCCGGAGTCGGTGCTCAGGGACACGGATAATGACTCTCTGCTTTTGCTCAGGATGCTGCTCCTCTACCACCTCTCGTTGGCGTCTGGCCCTCGGCCTCCTGCCTTCCTCCTGGAACACCCGGAGGATCCCGCCAACCAAGGTACCTCGGAAGCTCAGCAGAATTGTTCTTCATGGTGGGCCACGGCCCAGTGTAAAGACTTCGCGGGCCTTACACGGATGAAGATACACTGCTTTGACCAGTGCATGCTGGGGCACGGGGCCAGGAAACCCACGGCGGTTCTTAGCAATCTGGCCCTTGACTGGGATGGCCTCAAATGCAGGCATCCTGACCACCCTGTATGGTGGTCCAGTTCTGACTTGGCCCGGTGGGGTTGGCAATTCAATTTGGAATTGGCCACTTCCTTGCTAGCCTTCTTCTCCACATCCGGGGACACGGATGGAGACCGTTCCGTTGCTTCGGCACTGGCTCCGGTGACAGCTAGTACCTTAATTGTCCGGCTGGGACACCGTTCTCGCCCCCTCAACCATCCCCTGAAAGACTCAAGCCGGAAGACAGATGCAAATGCAAGTTGGCCTGGCTTGGCCAGTGGATAGAGGAGACACTCACCTCGGGGACGGTTGCCACAGGTGCCGATTCCCCAGTGGTCTCTCCTATGACGCCCTTTCGGGAATCGCTCAGGACTCAGGCGCGGGGCTGCCCCTGGCCAGACCAGTGGGTCGCAGACCTCCGCCAACGACTGGCATCACGCCTCTCTTCCCGTCTCCACCGACCTGTTTCAGCTGAGGTCTCTCCTGGACAACCGTTTGCTTTGGACATTCTCCAAGCTTTGGTGGAGCTGGCG